GTCAGATATATGGTATATGATGTATGATATATGGTCTATGATGTATGATCTATCATATATGATGTATGATGCATGATGCATGATGTGTGATCTATGATCTATGATGTTTGATCTATGATCTATGATCCATGATGTACGTTGTATGACCTATGATCTATGATGTGTATTCCACAACCCATGATCTATGATGTATGTTTCTGTGTTGTATGTTCTATAATACATGATCTATGATATATAATCCATAGTTGATGTTCCTATGGTCTATGATATATATCCGACGTTACAGGTGTGGTATTATGGTATGTGATGTATGATCTATAGTCCATGATGTATGATGTGTGATCTATGATGTATGATGTATGATGTATGATATATGATGTATGATGTATGATGTATGATCTATGATCAATGATGTGCGATGTATGACGTATGATCTATGATGTTACTTGATGTATGTTCCACAACCCGTGCGACACCCGCTTTTACACCATAAAATACATGAATTTTAACGGTGTTCAATTTCGTGTTTTTAGAAAAAAATGTCAGTTTTAACGAAATGTATATTGTAGGTAGTGGAAGGTAAAGAAACAGAAGTTTAGACAAGAAAAAAGGAGCTCGTCAGTGACAGGGCAACCTGTCTTAAACGGCGTTCTCCTCCATTTTAATCATTAGATGAAATTTGAGGAGTAGGTCTGCGACAGGGCAACCCGTCTCGATCAGCTTTCTCTTTAAAGATGGAATGAAGAGGAGTCTGTCTGGTGGTCTCCTTCAAATTTTGAAGAGTATATCCGCGGCACAGCAATCTGTTTTGATCGGATTTCTTTTCAAAAATTAATTGAGAGCAGTTCGTCTACGGCATGGAAACCTGTCTTGATCAGCGTTCTGTTCTCGACTTTAGGTGGAGAGGAATTTGTCTGCGGCAGGGAAACCTGTCTTGATCGAAATTTTCTTTTGATTGAGAGCAGTTCGTCTGCGGCAGGGAAACTTGTCTTGATCAACATTCTGTTCTCAACTTTAGGCGGAGAGGAACTTGATTGCGGCAGGGAAACCCGTCTTGATCGACATTTTTCTTTCGAGAGAGAGAGAAGAGTTCATTTGCAGCGGGGTAACCGTCTTGATCAGCGTTCTCTTCTAAAAATAAGGAGTTCGTCTACGGCAGTGAAATTTGTCTTGATCGATGTTCTCCTTTGTCCTTTGAAAGAGTTTGCTTGCGATAAGGAGACCTATTTTTATCAAGTGCGCTCTTCAAGGACTCATATGGAAAAAAAAGGGTTGCGACATGAATTAGTACTTGGTTAAGATGTGATATTGAGTCAGATATATTTTTGGGTCATTCGGACTTTGTCTGAACAACTTCCAAAAGGTTGGTACGTCTACAAAGACCCGTCAGGGAATTAATCCTGACTCGAAAGACCCGTCAGGGGGTTAATCTTATTTTTTTCAAATAAATGATGGTATCAACCAAATGGATGTAGCTTGAAACTAGTCAGAGGACTTTTGATACCACTCTAAGAAGATAAAAATTCCTTGAGTGGCTGTCTATGGAAAAAGACTTCGGCTTAGTTCTAAGTGGATTATGAAATTGTTGTGTATTGTGATTATTTTATAAAACCCTGACCTCTATTTTGATGGTGAACGACGGGGACGTCGTTCAATGGGGTCCGGGAATGTTGTCGGGCCAAATACCCTGACAAGGGTATTTGCCGGGGGTTTTGAACGTCGGACGTTGTCCGACTCTTTTGTTGAATTGAGGAACTTGATGAGACTAACGTTTGCCAAAAAGTTTATTCAGACCAACCTTGTAATTGAGAGTCTTAATTTTTTTTAGAACCCGGCGTCTCCGAATGAAACAGGGGGAGTTGGCGGTACGACCTGTCGTCTGCAGTTCGCGACAGGACCGCAGGGGCACATGGTCGTGGAAAAACTGAAACTAAATTATTCTACCTAAGAGACCGACGCGCGGCTGCTAAGCCGCTCGATTCAGGGCCTAGGTAGGCGGAAAAGAATGGCGCGTCGAGTACGGGGCCCTGACGCGGGAGAAATAAAAAAATTATTTCTATTTTCTAGACCCGCGGGTTTTTCGAGTCAAGGGGCCGACAAACCGGTGCCAAGGCCTAGCCATGGACGGGCTGCCGTCTACGGGAATACGACGGCAGGGCCTAATGCCTCAGGCAGGCGAAGTCTGCTGAGCCACAGACTGCACGCGACCTGCTGGGCGCAACCCTTTAAGTGGAAGGGTTGTTGTTTTAGCTCCAGTGATAAGAGCTAGCCCAGTAGGCACCGCATCGGATTTTCAACCAGCAGATGTTGGGATCGAGCCGGCGATAAGCAGTCTGGGCTAGCTCGTTTTCTTTTGGAGCTGCCCACTGCACCAGCATGAAGCGCGGTCATTCTCGGCCGCGAGATCATCAAATCTCTCGGTCGGGAACGGCCGCGTGGCTGCAACATGACCCCTGCGCAAGGATGACACCATAAATCAAGAAATGGTCCAAAATCCTGGTAGGGATTTGAAACTGGGTCTGTACCTCGATGTGCCATAACAGGCCACGATGGGACGTGACCGTTGGCAAAGCCAACGGGAAAAAAAAAAAAAAAAAAAAAAAAAAAAAAAAAAAAAAAAAAAAAAAAAAAAAAAAAAAAAAAAAAAAGGACTAGGATTAATTTGGGGTTTCACGCTTGGTTGAGACCATCCTAGTCGACCGACGCTTGCTCCGCACCTAGGAGATCAGCGCCCTAGGAAGGGACGACGTTCGGGTCCGCTTGGCGTTAACCAAGCGTATCTATACTACAGTGAACGAGCAAACGCCCTCGACTGATCTACCTCTGTGATTGCACTTAAAAGCCTTCGCACGTGGGTCAGTAGCTCGGTAGGGATACGCCCCTAAGGGTGGTGATAGCCCTTTAGGGAAGCAAGCTTATGCCCCGCGGGAACCTATCCTGTCGTAGGGGGCCGCGGGATGTATAGCTGGCGCACTCGGCTAGAGCGGCGAATGAGCGATGCAACCGCGTCCGTCTCGGCGGTTCGCGGGAGACTTAGCGTCGTTCCCGAGTTGTCTCTCGATCTCTATTTTTTTGTTTTACTCATGCGTGACATGGTCGGGAGGGCCCTCGCTCGCACGGGGGCCGATGCACTCGACAGCGGAGCCAGAAAGGGATTGAACCCACGACCTCCTGAATGCAACTTGTGTGCCTTACCAACTGAGCTAGGCCCGCAGACCGTTGGTAAAGAATTTTGATATGACCCTGAGGCAAAAGTTGTTCGGTTTATTTTCTATCTAGGCTACCAGAGTGGCCCGGGTCACTTGCCCCCCCGGGCCAAAAACATTTTAAAACATAAAAGAAAAAAAAATTATTTTTAAATTTTATTTTTTATTTTAGATTTGGTAAAGAATTTGGACGTGACCCTCGGGCAAAAGTTTCAGTTTATTTTTCTTCATAACACAGCTTTTCTTCGGAGTTTGTTTGTTTCCTTTTTTCTTTTTTTTCGCTGGGACCTTCCTTGGTCCTTGCACGCGTTAGCCACCCGGGACCCGGGCGGCCCGACTGGGAGCCTAGTTTTCTACCTAGCTTTCCACCCCGGGCGCCAGGGGCGCCCGACCACGCGACCCCCCCGAGCAGGCACTCGGGCACCCTCAGCGCCACCCCCCCAAAAACCTCAAAAAGAAAAATTTGGCACCGCAGGCCTACGGCCAAAAGGGGGAAAAAAAATTAGGCGGCGGCCGCAAAATTTTTCAGGGCCTGGTGAAGTTGCCAAGCTAGCCCATCTTTGGGCTTATTTTCTACTTTAGGGTTCAGCAACTAGTTGTATTTGGTGGATTTCCTGGTTAGTTTCAGGGTCCTTTGGACCAGTTCCTTTTTTCCTTTCCTGCCAGTTCCCCGCCCAGTTGTCCAGCCCGGGAAACTGGTTTTTCCGATTTTTCTGATTTTTTCTGTTTTTTAGGCGCATGCATTTGTTCGGTTTTCTGCGCTACAGGGAATTGCATTCCTTGCAAGGGCGGTGCACACATGACATAGGAGGAGGGTTTTTTTATGTCCCCGTGTATCTGGTCGGCTTCCGGTGCTAAGCAACTGGGTTTTCTTCGGGGCACGTAAGGGCACCACGGGACTGTGCTTACCTGACTTGGGACGGTTTTCAGGAGCTCTATTGTTCCAACACCATGACTCGACAGTATTTCTTCCCG